AAAAAAAAAAAAATGGAAATCACATTAGCTCAAATCTTTTTTCAATTTCTTACAAGATTTCATTTTTTTTTCCTTTTTTTGGTAATAAAAGGTGGGGGAGATGTGGGTGTGAGGAAATTCGGGGCAGAGATTAGGCCAAACCGAAGAGCTTTAAGCGTGATTAATCGCAATTTAGGCGCCGTTAATCCCTACCCTTGTGTTGTTAACAAGAGGGGCTACACAGAGTACGAATCCTAGCTCCCAAGATCAAATCTTTTTGAATTTACAGTCCTTTTGGGTAATGCTGTGTTTCGATAAAGTATACGATTTTTGAATCACAGATCGAATGCGGGTTGCGATAAGAAAGGTCCCGTGCAAGCGCATAGGCCGATCACAAGGTCAGATTTTGTAGTGGGCCTTAATTTCAAACAAGATTTGAGCTCGTACTTGCTTAATTTCATCTTTTTTCTGACGTAAATTTTTATTTTCGGTTTGTTTTATTATTTAAGGAAATATGCTGCTCAAATGGCTGTCTCTCGACCTCCTTGCCCCGAGGTAAAAGCTCCTATCTTTTTCAATCATATCTTTTGGATCTTCAGTTAGCTGACTTGCATTCAAATTTTGAATTCAGTGTGTTTATAAGTTAGAACTAGTCATGTGGGTTGACTTCCTTTTCCATACGAAAAGATTTTAAAAAGTGGACTGTGTGTATCGATGTTTCGAAATTTCGAATTCAGGAATCAAAGAAAGCAAAAACATCATCATCATCATCAGCCACAGAGTTCACTGTGTGGGAGGATATTCCTCTTATAGATGCAGAGGAAAATCATGAGGCAGCTAAAGACCAGCCTGTGCCCATGTCCTTAGAACATCCTGAGTTCGAAATGGCCGACAAAAATCAAATGGTATATCGTCGACCCCACGTTTCGAATCTCTCGAGCATATTTGATTTTATTTGTCGAAATCTGGTAGATTATGACTCTCTTTGAATCCTCTTCAGAAGGAGATTGAGATGGAGGACATATTTGAGGAGACTGTGGCCGATATTGATGGTGGCGACGTTAAGGATCCGCTTGCTGTTGTTGAATATGTCGAGGATTTATATGCTTACTACAAGAAAATGGAGGTAACAATTGAATGGATTTTGTTGATGACTGTATGTGAATCTGATGAAATTCAAATAGAATTATGAATTAATCTGCATATGAAATTGAGGTTATACTCACATTACCTGCAGAGTTGTAGCTGTGTCTCGCCGGGTTATATGGCGCAGCAGTTTGACATAAACGAGCGAATGAGGGCTATTCTTGTCGATTGGCTCATCGAGGTAGAAAAAAAATAGAAAAACAAATAATAGCTTCACTATCAATCACAACAGTATCACTAATGGGTGGGATAAGTTAGAAGAAGGTCTAACAATTTTGGACTGAAAAACTCAGGTGCACCACAAATTCGAACTTCGGGAAGAGACGTTATTTCTGACCATAAACTTAATCGACCGGTTCTTGGCAAAGCAATCTGTGGTGAGAAAAAAGCTTCAGCTCGTTGGACTTGTGGCGATGCTTTTGGCGTGCAAGTACGAGGAAGTTTCTGTACCCGTGGTCGATGATTTGGTGTTCATTTCGGACAAAGCCTACTCAAGACAAGAAGTTCTTGAAATGGTATATCATATTGATCACAGTAAAAAATTATAAGGCTCGATTAGTGTTGTGTTCTGAAAAAAAAAAATCGAATCTTTCTCGTTTTCCCATTAGGAGAGGTTGATGCTCAACACGTTGCAGTTCAACATGTCCGTCCCGACTCCTTATGTTTTCATGAGAAGGTTCCTCAAGGCTGCTCAATCTGATAAGAAGGTTCTTTTTTTTTGTCCATTCAAAACTTTTACCTATTTTAAACTTACCATTTTAAAACGCGAATTATTCAAAGTCTTCTTCGGTCTGCTGGTTTTTGTAACAGCTCGAGCTACTGTCCTTTTTCTTGATCGAGCTTTGTCTGGTGGAATACGAGATGCTCAAGTACCCGCCGTCCTTTCTTGCTGCTGTTGCGATATGCACAGCTCAATCTACAATCTACGGTGTCGGTCAATGGAGCAAGACTTGCGAGTGGCACACGGGTTACTCGGAAGATCAACTATTGTGAGTTGGTTTGTTGTATACTTGTAGAAAGTCCATTAATTTATTTTATTTTATTTTTAAAATATCTCCATCTTTCTTTTTCAGGGAGTGCTCGAGATTGGTTGTTGGGTTCCATGAGAATGCGGCCACCGGAAAATTGACCGGAGTTCACAGGAAGTACAATACGTCGAAATTTGGATACGCAGCGAGATGCGAGCCGGCTCGTTTTCTTGCACAAACAGCACCACCACCACAATAGAGGCAGGGAAACATGTACAGTTTTACTGCTCTGACATTAATGTGATTTCTGTGTAATTGTGTTTGATTTGTTGCGACACACTTAAATTGTGGGGGGGCTAAATTGCAACTTTCAGTTGCCCCAGGGGAGGATAAATTTTAATTTTAATTTTAATTCTAATTTCATGAGAGGCAGAAATCCTGCACTTGTTTGTTTACTGATTCATCACACCTACATTTGATTATTTGAGGAATAAAAATACATTTGTTTCTTCTTGTTCAGAGCCAATGTAGACTATTGTGTTACTGATTCATCACACTACATTTGTTTCTTCTTGCTTCAGTTTTATGTTGAACTTATGTAGCTTTTGTCGATATGTTAGTGTGTGTGTTCAAGACGAGCAAAATGAAACTTAAATACGCTGCGGAAAGTTATGGACACGAACGAATGATAAAAATTTAGCCTACAAATGATAAAACACTTTGTAGGATCATAGTGTGTATAAAAGCTTGAGCTTTGAGGATCTCACATGTCTCTTGCTTCAGTTGCAGCAGGCAATGTTTAAACTTTTGTAGATTTTGTCATTATGTTAATGTGTGTTCAAGACGAACAAAATGAAACTTAAATATGCAGCGAAAATAATGGCACAAATGATAAAAATTTAGTCTACAAATAATAAAATACTTTGTAAGTAAAAATTTATCCTACAAGTGATAAAAGACTTGTAAACTAAGGCAACATGACAAAATATTTTCTAGAAAATAGTGAAATATTTCAAATTGTAGGATGTTGGTGCTTCTAGAGCTGAGGATATTTTGGGTATTTGAATTCTTCTTTATTGAAGTGATTACATCAATTCATGAAGTCCATAAAACTAGTTTGCCCAAGATATTTTATTTACAAATGTTCTACGGAGAAAAAGGAGAAAGCAAAGTCAACCAACCAACCTCATGTAGTGATTTACATCAATTGGCTTTGCTTGTTTTATCAATTTAAAAAGAAAAACAAAATAGAAATAAACTTATATCAATTTAAAATCTAACTCAATTTTACTCTTTTAGGTATTATCAATATAATTAAATAATATCATTCAATCAATTTTATATATCGCATCAACTTTAATTCACTATTCATTTATAATTATTATATTCTAAATATTCTTTTTATATAAACTTAATTATCCTACTAACAATAATCATACACACTTTTTTTTTAAATAAACTCTACAACAACAACAACAAAGTCTTTTAGTCCCAAACAAGTTGGGGTAGGCTAGAGATGAAACCCAAGAGAAACAGCGGTAAGAGAAACACAAAAAAAGGCTCAAAACAAAACAAAACAACACAAAACAAAAACAAAACAAAAAGAAGAGATTGGAGCAAAAGAGAAAGGAGCAAAAGTCACGGTTCCGGCACGTTGATCGCTAACCTCCAAGCGCTCCTATCCACCGCTAAATCCTTGGAGATATTCCAATTTTTAAGGTCTCTCTGAACCGACTCTTCCCAAGTGAGTTTAGGCCGACCTCTACCTCTCTTAACATCATCGACCCGCTGTAGAACTCCCCTACGCACCGGTGCATCAGGAGGCCTCCGTCGGACATGTCCGAACCACCTCAGCCGATGTTGAACCAATTTTTCCTCAATTGGCGCCACCCCGACCCTATCTCGAATATCCTCATTCTGGATTCTATCTCTTCTTGTGTGCCCGCAAAACCAACGCAACATACGCATCTCTGCTACACTTAGTTGTTGGACATGTTGCCTTTTTGTAGGCCAACATTCAGCACCGTATAGCATCGCCGGACGAATCACCGTCCTATAGAACTTACCTTTTACCTTTTGTGGCACCCTCTTATCAAAGAGAATGCCCGAAGCTTGACGCCATTTCAACCAACCGACTGCAATTTCTATGTCTAACATCTTCATCAATGCCGTCATCCTTTTGTAGCATCGATGCTAAATATCGGAAAGTCTCCTTCTTGGCCACCACTTGCCCGCCAAGGCTAACGTCACCATCATCATGAGTAGCCATGCTGAAAGCGCACGTCATGTACTCGGTCTTCGTTCTACTAAGTTTGAAGCCTTACGACTCTAGCGTGTCCTTCCACAGCTCTAACTTCCTATTTACCCTGCCATACTCTCGTCGACTAGCACCACATCATCAACAAAGAGCATACACCAAGGGATATCACCTGGTATGTCCCTTGTGGCCTCATCCATCACTAAGGCAAATAAATAAGAGCTCAATGCTGACCCCTGGTGTAGTCCTATTTTAATTGGAAAGTCGCTGGTATCGCCCCCACATGTTCGGACACACGTCATCGCATCCTTGTACATATCCTTGACGAGGGTAATGTACTTAGATGGGACTTTGTTCTTTTCTAAGGCCCACCACATATGACATTCCTCGGTACTCTGTCATAAGCCTTCCCAAGGTCGATAAAGACCATGTGCAAGTCCTTCTTTTGGTCCCTATATCTCTCCATCAGCTGTCGTATTAGGAAAATCGCCTCCATGGTCGACCTTCCAGGCATAAACCCAAATTAGTTTTGGGTCACACTCGTCACTCGTCGTAGGCGATGCTCGATAACTCTCTCCAGAGCTTCATCGTATGGCTCATCAACTTAATTCCACGGTAGTTACCACAGCTTTGAACATCACCCTTGTTCTTGAAGATCGGTACTAAAGTACTTCGTCTTCATTCATCAAGCATCTTGTTTGACCGGAAAATGCGGTTAAAAAGCTTAGTTAGCCAGTTTGTTTAACCGAAAAATGAGGTTAAAAAGCTTAGTTAGGTTAAACTCTAATTAACACACAAAAAAAAAACAATAAAAACCAGTTTGTTTCTAGTTTTTCCTTAACGGGTTTGCTATGAAGCCAACAATTGGCCCTTGCTATGTTTGATAGACCAATAATCTAGCTTATAGCT